CCTATATTTTATATATATATATAAACAATATAAAAACATGCTCCCAGATGCTAGGGCTATAGCTCAGTTTGTACAGAGCTTAGCTAAGTCTTGTGCATGAAGTCTTTGATTTGATTCCCAACACTACACACACAAATAGTAATTTTTAAAAACAGAGGGCAGGCCACGGTGGCACACACCTTTAGTCCCAGCACTGCGGAGGCTCAAAGGTAGGTGGATCTCTGTGAACCTACAATGAACCTTTACAATGCAGCCTGTAATCTGTTCAGTCTACTGCCGGGGGCCACCTGCTGGCACTTCACATTTCAGATGTCCCTAACCTGAGATGTAACCCTTTGGGAATAGCATTAGACCGTGGCTCTCCTCTGTGCCCACAAGTGAACTTGCTGTTTTATCCTCTGACCTGACCATCTGGTAGGGGGCAAAGGCTCCGCCCACATTTTATTTCTCTGTAGTGAAGGTTCACGCCTGCCCCTCATGCCCAGCCATAGCAGTTCTCAGGTGTCTGGAGACAAGCAAACATCAGCATGGAAAGGGGTATTTATTGATCAACAGTAGTTGTTTTTTTTAAAGTTTTTATTTTTGGCAATAAAGAGCACAACATAATCTCCCTCCCCCCAAAAAAGTGAAAGTGAAGCCAGCTTGATCTACATGAGATCCAGGCCAGCTGGAGCTAAAGGAGACCCTGTCTAAAACAAAACAAAAACAAAAAATAATAAAAAACAAAAAAAAGAAAGAAGGAAAAAAAACAAAAACACAATGACAGCACCTGTCATTAGAGCTAGAAGATAAACAAGAGTATCTGCTATTGATTTTTTTAAAGTTAACTAAAGATCTCCACTTAATGGATGTCAAAAGAACTAAATAATACAGGGGCTGGAGAGATGGCTCAGCAGTTAAGAACACTGGCTGTTCTTGCAGAAGACCGGGGTTTGAATCCCAGCACCCACATGGCAGCTAACAACTGTCCATAACTCCAGTTCCAGGGGATCCGACAGCCTCTTCTGTCCTCACAGTCACTGCACAACACAGGTGCACTTACATGCAGGCAATACACGAATACACATAAAATAAAAATAAATAAAATATTTTTTAAAAATCCACACCAAGTCTCATATATTAGTAAGTACTCAATAAGCAGTATCAAAAATTAAACATCTAGAAATGGTTCGTTTGAACCATACAATTTTTGCACCGCAGTACTGACAGCCTGGGCAGATGGTACATGCCTGTGAGTCCAGAACTTGGGAAATGAGAGGAGGAAGATCAGGAACTCTAAGCCAGCCTGAGCTACACTGCCAGTCTGAGGTCAGCCTGAGTCCCAAGAGACTGTCTCAAAAAGTCAAAAAAAAAGGGAAGAGACAGAGGTGGGGAGGGGAAGGGGTGGGAGGAGATGAAAGTCAGGCAGGGTAGCTACACATGTAATCCCGACACTTGGGAGGCTAAAGCAGGAGACTGTTCAGAGTCCAAGGCCAGCATCTGGTATAAAGTAAAACCTATCTCAAAAAACAACAAAAGAGAATTTATGCTGATATTCTAAAGACATTCAAGGTTTTTAAGTTTTGAATAAAAGCAAAATTTTTCCAGAATATTAGATTTTTCTGAACTATTTTGGATAACCACTACAGATTATTGATATCACCACATTCAAAGTAGTCATAACAACCATTTCTAATATTTGGTGAATCCTAATTTAATCAAAAACAGAAAAATATTTAAAAGCATGGGCTTTGAAGTCAAAGGTTATTACAAGTTAAATCCCAACTGCTTCACTTAAGGTGTTTGACTTTACATAAGTTACTAAACTTCTCTAAGTTCTAGTTTGTCTATGAAAGAGCAATAACTATACTTACCTCCTAAAGATTTTTTTTGTGAAGACTGAATGAGAAAATACATGTAGTGCTCTTACAAGTAAGAGCTACCACATGTTATATGTTTCTATTAAACAAATATATGCAAGAGCCATCATTATACTATATACCCAAATCTGCAGTAAAACTCACAAAGGTTTAGATAAGAAATTAAAATACTACAAAGTTTCTTCCTTTATCTTATACCTAATTCCATGTTCTAAAAAGCTACAACCCTGTGAACATGGGTGGGGGGGTCAGTAAAGCTGTTTCCTTATTTGTTTTAAAATGGTCAAAGCAGTCCTAAATAAAGAAAATTAAGTATTTGAGCAACAACCTATACAAACACATATTAGTAAATGAAATACTAATCATAAAGAGGGGAAAGTAGCTTTAAAAGCAAAAGCAAACTTTTATTAGTCAAAATTTTAAGGCAAGGTTTATTATTAAATACCATATGAAGAGTATCTGAGTATATCTATGTTCGAAGCTTAACATTCTATGCTTTATTCTGTTGTGCTATAAAATTTGTAGCTACTTTAGACAACATAATTGGAAATAAAAGAAGCATTATAACATAACAGAATAAGACATATACATGTTAAATTCTAAGCTTTATAACTTGTAACTTGGCTCTGCTAAATATATTTTGGGAAAGAAAAAAGTTAGCTAAATCTCAGTAAGAAAAAAGTCAGTCTAGATATTGCCAAAATATATTATTTTTTAAAACTACAGTATACCCTAAGCCAAATGAAATTACCTTCCATGTATTTTATAGATGTTCAAGATTATTCTGATTTAATGTTTCAGACAAGTTCTAATAAGCACAATATTTTGATACAGAAAAAAGTACTTGCCTTCATATGGTGTGTCTGGAGGTCCTGCTATTTCTCCTCTTAATTCTGTAAAATTCTCATCTACAAGATCTACTTTAATTTGATTTTTGCTCGTCTTAAAAATAAACAGAAAATAAATGTTAGTTATACCAGCAAGAATGCCTATTTTAAAAATATTACCTATTAAAAAAACTGAAACCCCCTTTTTCTTAGGTTTGACTATCTGCTCAAGCAAAAATAAGTCTACGCTTTTCTAGGATTTAATTTAAAAAAATACTTAAAGAAACTGCTAATTTTAACTTCAACATTTTTAATAAAATAGTACCACTCTGAACCCTACAGGAAACTTCATTAGAGAAAAATAGACAAACCATTTTATGTTTGCCAACTCAATATATGCTAGGTCCAAAGTGATAAATATATTCATCTGTAGTTGACTGCTAAGATACTATATCCCTAGATGACTTTAGTTCTGCAAAATCTAGAGAAAATTTATGGTTAATAAAGGCCATCTAGGCCACAAGCTCCCATTTGAATTAATCATAACAACTCTGGATATTTGGGTTAACTGATTACAATGCTACACCATTCACCACAATGATGAAAGCGCTAGGCATATAATTTTCCTTTCCATTTCCACAGTCTAAATACCTCACTATAATCCTATAATGCCTTCGATTTATTTTTCTGCTTAGGTGACTTCAATGACAACTACCTTCTGTCTAAAACAAACACCTAAAATTTATCTACATCTATTTATTTTGCATTTAATGTTTCTCAAAGTACTTTCATAATCTTGTGACAGTCCATTCTCAGTCATGGTGACCTTAAATAAAAAACCATCTAATGTGATTCACAATAGCATTTTATTCCCATGGATCAGTCTGCCTGCAAATGGGTTTGCCTAACATTGAGTGTTCCCCTTATTTCAACTTAAACCTAAACCCCTAATACATAAGTTACTCTTTTTATCTGGAGTATGTAAGTGACACGTACATTTATGAAAGTTTCACAAAATATTTCAATAGTAAACTTTTTAGCTTTTAGAACCACCTTCTTACTGGATGGAACAGTAATAATCGTTATTTAAGGTCCCTACCTTCTTTTTGCCTCTAGTAAGATACCGAACAGCTTTAACTCTTTTTGTATATTAAATAGTTTAGTATAGAAACAAAATGTAACTCAAAATTCAGATTTTTAAAAAACTTTACTCATAATACTTTAATAAAAGCATATGATTAAAAACAACTTTTATACATTCTAAAAGCATTCTAATTGGTACTGGTTTATTTCATAACCTTTTCTATATTAAGGATGACTGCATTTCCTATTTTCTCTGAAAATATTTTTGTTCAAAAGATGGAATTTAATTATAAATATACATGAGAAACTTCTTCCTGTGCCCTAGAAAATTAGCATTCTCTGTATTTGTGATAGAGGAGGAAATATGCATTTTACCAAAAGTAAAAATCCTATGTCCATTATACACAAGAGTGAATGTTAAGAAAATTGGAGACATTAATTTTCACCAACCAATTTAAAAAGCCACAAGTTTTAACTTCATATTTTTACTTCTCCCACTAAGATTTTTAAATAAAACAAGAATAACTACAACACTGATGCTTTCAAAGTTCTCTATGGTATTCCACAATCAATCGCCTGTCTAAAATTAAGCAAATAACACCAAAATGTTATAGTACTAAAGGATCTGATTAGACTCAAGTTTGGGGAAGGGAAAGAGGAGGTAATAAATTAGAAAATCTGCTTTCTGGAACTGTCCCAATTCTCTGGTTAGTAAAATGCTAAATAAGTATCATTAATTTTTATACCTGTCCTTATTTCTGTCCACATCACACCCAAATTATAATTCAGAGGAAAAAAAATGGATCTTTCTATTCACTCTAGAGAAAAAAACACTATTAGTGTATGAAAAATTTACTAAGTCAGCTCAAGAAAATACCATCACTATGATGAATCCCATTATAAAGAAGCACTCTACATGGTCTAGAGTGGGTCTTTATCTGCAGATAACTAAAGATAAAAAGAAAATGCAAAGTTAAAAACAAGGATTTTTCACAGCTCTATTTTTCTATCAAGTTAACAATTATCCTTTATATCACTACAGTTTGATTTAAACATCTAACTATTCTGTAATCCAAAACTCCCACTAACCCCACTTTCTAACTTAAAAATCTCAGTACATGACTCAGAAACACCAGGAAACAAGGAAAATGGCAAGGGACAACACTAGGAGAAAAGGCACTGGTCTTTGTAGTCAGATGTGTGCTGAATTCTAGTTCTGTCCCTTGTGTTATTATCAAATCAGATGTCACTTGGCATCTAACTCTCAATTTTGTTAATATAAAGTGAAAATACCTGTCTTAAAATTATTTTGCTTACTTAAATTTGCTATTTCTGTAACTTTTTTTTCTTTATTTTTTTTTTTGAGGGGAGGGAAAATCTAAGGGATCAAACCTGGGGCCTTTGGGCATGCTAAAACAACACCAGACCTTATCACAGAATTACAGGAGTCTCCTAAGAAATCTCATTGTTCCCTTTGCTTATCAACACTAACTATTCAAATCCTTATTTTATAAAATATACTTCACAGTTCTGCTGCCAGTCTAGGAATGGAACCTGGTCTACATAATGAGTTCCAGGACAGCTGGGGCTACAGGGAGACCCTGTCTCAAAAAGACCAAAAAAAATAAAAATTTAAAAAATTTAAAAATAGCCAGGCATGGTGACACACACCTTTAATCCCAGCACTTGGGAGGCAGAGGTAGGCAGATCTCTGAGAGTTCCAGGCCAGCTGGGGCTATAGGGAGACCCTGTCTCAGAAAGACCAAAAAATAAATTTTTTTCAAAAAAATAAAATAAATAAATAAATAAAACAATGTTACCCATTTTAATGAGTGCAACAACAACCAGAGGCTACAGCTTTGAAAAGGGACCTTGAAGAGCTGTTACTCTGGCACTGCATCTTTTGTTAAGGGTAGCTGTAAAGCTCTTTCTGCAACTTGCTTCTTACTCAGCTAAGTACAGTTAAGGTAGGACTTCTGGTAGTCCTGGTTTTTCTATGTTCCTTTGGATCTACAAAGCATTACTAAAGCATAAAGAGAAAGATGAATAAAACATAAAGCTCCAGTAGCAATTTTTGTATAAACTATAAAAATCAAGCAAAACAGCACAAAATGTTGGATGAAGTAAAATAAACATTAGTGCTACTGAGAAATAGTGCAAAATTCAGGGTTGGGGATGTAGTTCAATTGGCAGAGTGCCTAGAATGCATGAAATCCTAGGTACAATCCCAGAACTTGGGATCTGGAGAGGTAAACACAAGAGGATCAGAAGTTCGAGATCAGCCAGGCATAGCGGTCCATGCCTTTGATCCCAGCACTTGGGAGGCAGAGGCAGGCAGATCTCTATGAGTTCAAGGCCACCCTGGTCTACAAAGTGAGTTCCAGGACAGCTGGGGCTACAGAGAGACCCTGTCTCAAAAAGACAAGGAGAAAAAAAAATTCAAGATCATCCTCAGCTACAGATTGTATCTGAGCCCAGCCTAGGCTATGTGAAACCTATCTTTTAAAGGATGGGGGGAGGGGGGCGGAAACGGGATGACAGGGAAAGGTAAGGGAAAAGGAAAAGTGGACAAGACGGCTCAGGCTAAGTAGGTGAAAGAACTTGCCACCAAGACTGACCACCCAAGTTCCATCCCCAGAACCCACATGGTAGAAAGAGAATCAACTATCCCCCATGTCCATGCCTCCCACACATGCCCTGGCATTCACACGTATATATGGACACACAGGGGCGGGGGGGGGGGGTAAAAATAAAGAAAAAAAGAAATACCTAGAGTATAATGTAGTCCTAAAATATGAGCAGATATAGTTCAATGACAGAGCATGTTCTAGGCCTTGGCTTAAAATCCCCACCCTCAGGAGGGTGAAAGCAGTTTTAATAGATTTTCAGGGATTAAAAAAATAAACAATACACAAGCATACATATTATAAATTGGTAGCAATCTTCCTTCTTTGGTCTCCCATGTGCTGGGATTGTGCATGTGTGCCACCATATCCAGTTTTATATGGTATCAAAGATCAAACCCAAGGCTTTGTATATGCTAGGCAGCACTCCAACTACCTGAGCTACATTCCTAGCCTATTAAACACTGTATTTTTCTACAAGTATAATTTAGAAACTTAAGATTTGGCTCAGTGATTTGGCTCAGTGGTTAAGAACACTTGCTACTCTTGCAAAAGATTGGGGTTCATTCAGTTCCCAGCACCCGAACAGCAGCTCATAACCATCCATAACTCTAGTTCCAGAGAAACTGACACCTTCTTTTGGCTTCTGCAGGAACCAGGCACACAAATGGTGCACATAATACACACATGCAGGCAAAACATTCATATACATAAAAAATTAAATTTTTAAAAGGGAGGGAGGGGGAAAAAATCAAATAAGACAAATATAAGGCCATGTTAGGGCACATACCACTGACCTATATTCTGAGCCCTGGTAATTCTCAACTGGTACAAAGAAATTATTAATTAAAAAAAATTTAGGCCAGGTGTTGTGGCGCACACCTTTAGTCCCAGCACTTGGGAGACAGAGGCAGAGGATCTCTGTGACTTCAAGGTCAGCCTGGTATACATAGGGAGTTCCAGGCCAGCTGGGGCTACAGGGAGACCCCATCTCAAGAAAGACCATCCCCCCAAAAAAAATTTAAGCTGGGCCCGGTAGTTCAAACCCACAATCCTAGCACTTGGGAAGCTGAGGCCGGATTGCTGTCAAGTTGGGAGACCAGGCTGGGCAATATAGAGAGTTCTAGGCCAGTCCAGGCCACATAATGACTCTGTCTCAGGGGAAGGAGGAGGAGGAGAAAGTCAAATTGAGAAAAGAAAAGAATTATATTCTTCCAGATTTGTTGTAAATAACGATTTTAAAAGTTTAGGAGCTGCCATTATTTTCTCAAAATGTAATATATCTGGGTCATCTTTCACCCATTACTCAATGGCTCAAAAATAAGCCAAGGTTTTCACCTTCTAAACACTTTTTGATTTTTGGTGCTGGGGAAATCAAACCCAGGGCCTTGTGCATGCAAAGTAAGAC